GTCTCTTCTCCCAAGTAACAAGTGATAGGATGAGAGGAAATGGCCTCAAGCTGCGCCAGGGGAGGTTTAGGTTGGATATTAGGAAAAACTTCTTCACTGAAAGAGTGGTCAAGCACTGAAACGGGCTGCCCAGGGAAGTGGTTGAGTCTCCATCCCTGGAGGTATTTAAAGAACAGATAGATGTGGTGCTCGAGGACATGGTATAGATGGACTTGGCAGTGCTAGGTTAACAGTTGGACTTGATGATCTTAAGGGTCTTTTCCAACCTTAACGATGCAATGATTCTATGATCATCATGACTGAGGCAGGCAGGAGGTTCCTGGAGCCAGGGAAACCCGAGGAAGAGCAGAGCAGCCCGCCAGGAGCCGCAGCTCTCACGAGCCAGGCTGACGTGGCTTGGGCATTGCCAGGAGCAACTGCGGGAGACTGAAATGGCTCCAGACTAGGCGTAGCACGGCAGTTCGCGCAGGAAGGGCGCGCAGAAAGGGCGCTGCACCCTGCTTGTAGGCCCACAGCCCAGGGAAGTGCTCTAGGTCTCTGCCATAATGGTTGGCACTCATCTCAGAGTTAAAACCAGTGTTCCTGCAGAGAAAGCCCCTGAGATGTCTGATGCTTCCACCCAGACGGAACTGGTAAGGAAGGAGACTTCAGTACAGGTGGTAGTATGCAATGAGTGCCCAGACCCTTCTCCTGGAGAAAAGGTAAGTACCTGCATAAAGTGTGCACAGGTTGATGACCTGTTGCATCAGGTGGCCGAGTTGCAGGAAACAGCCAAAAGGCTGCGCAGTATTAGAGAAGCCAAGATGGAGATAGATTGGTGGTTTCAGAACCATGCTCCTGTAGTGGACACCACAGAGAATAAGGCACCTTGGACCCTGGTGACCCACAAAAGCTGGACCCCACTTCAGTCTCCACCCTCCAGCATCACAACCAAAACCAGCTATGAAGCTTTAACAGCTATAGACACCCATGAGCAAGGTTTGCAAGGAGAAACTGTACCAGCAGCTCACAGTGGATATCGCAAAAAGAAACAACGAGTGCTCCTAGTGGGTGACTAGGAGGTTAAGGGGCACTGAGGCGCCCATCTGCTGACCTGACAGGGAGTCATGAGAGGTATGCTGCCTTCTGGGAGCTAAGGTCCAAGATGTTGCCGAGAGGGTGCCACAACTTGTCAGGAGCACAGACTACCATCCACTGCTACTCTTTAATGTGGGCATGAATGACACCGCAAGCCAGAACTTGGGCAGAATCAAGGAAGATTATAAAGCCCTGGGGGTGCAAATGAAAAATACTGGTGCTCAAGTTACCTTTTCCTCCATTATTCCGGTTGGAGGAAAGGGTGCAGCCAGAAATAGACATATAATGTAATAGACATCAACTTCTGGCTTTGTGACTGGTGCCGACGTGAGGGTTTTGGCTTTCATGACAACAGGACATTCTTTGATGACTATAGCCTGTTAGGGAGGGATGGGATCCACCTGTCTAGAAGAGCCAAGGGAATCTTTGGCAGCACGCTGGACAACTTCATCAAGTGGGCTTTAAACTGAAGGACTCAGCGGGGTGGGGTCCAAAGTGGCAATGCTCACGCCATCTCATCCAACTGGTGAATAAGCCAGGCCAACCAGAGCAGCCACAAATGTTCCTCAGCTGCCTCCCAAGATGAGAACCAGAAGGCCAACCAACTCAAGGGTGTGGATCCTCTTGCACCCCTCCTAGGAAACATGCACGCTCCATTACCTCTCTGAAATGCCTGTACACCAACGCATGCAGCATTGGGAATAAACAGGAAGAATCAGAGGTCTGTGCAGTTGCAGGGCCACGATCTCATTGCAATTATGGAGACATGGTGGGATGGCTTGCATGACTGGAATGCTGTCACGGCTGGCTATGTACTTTTTAGGAAAGATAGGCCAGCAAGACGAGGTGGTGGAATTGCTCTTTATGTGAGCGAGCAACAGGAATGTATTGAGCTCTGCCTAGGGGTTGATGAAGAACGAGCTGGGAGCTGATGGGTAAGAATTAAGGGGGAGGCTAATATGGGTGACACTTGTGGGTGTTTACTACAGGCCACCTGATCAGGAAGGCGATGAGGCCTTCTACAGACAGCTGAAAGTAGCCTCACAATCACAGGCCCTGGTTCTCATGGGGGACTTCAGCCACCCTGATATCTGCTGGAAAGACAACACAGCTAGGCACACACAGTCCAGGAGGTTCCTGCAGAGCATTGATAACTTTTTGACACTGGTGGTGGAGGAGCCAATGAGGAGAGGTGTGTTGCTGGATCTTGTACTAACAAACAAAGAAGGACTGGTTGGGGATGTGAAGGTTGGGGGCAGCTTTGGCTGCAGTGACCATGAGATGGTGGAGTTCAGGATCCTGCGTGGAGGAAGCAGGGCAATAAGTAGGATTACAGCCCTGGAATTCAAGAGACCTAACTTTGGCCTCTTCAAGGACCTACCTGGAGGAATCCCATGGGTTAGGGCTTTAGAAGGTAGGGGGGTCCAAGAGAGCTGGTTAATAGTCAAGCACCACTTCCTCCAAGCTCAAGATCGATGCATCCCTATGAGTAAGAAATCAAGCAAAGAGGGCAGGAGACCTGCATGGATGAGCAAGGAGCTTCCGGCAAAACTCAAATGGAAGAAGGAAGTTTACAGAATGTGTAAAAAGAGACAGACCACTTGGGAGGAATATGGGAATGTTGTCAGAGTATGCAGGGATGCGGTCAGGAAGGCTAAGGTCCATTTGGAATTAAATCTGGCAAGGGATGTCAAGGACAAGAAGGGCTTCTTCAAGTATATCAGTAGCAAAAGGAAGACTAGGGAAAATGTGGGCCCACTGCTGAACGAGGTGGGTGCCCTGGTGATGGAGGATACAGAAAAGGCAAAGTTACTGAATGCCTTCTTTGCTTCAGTCCTTACTGCTAAGGCCGGACCTCAGGAATCCCAGACCCTGGAGGTAGGAGAGAAAGTCCGGAGGAAGGAAGACCTTCCCTTGCTTGAAGAGGATCACGTTAGAGATCATTTAGGCAAACTGGACACCCACAAATCCATGGGCTCTGATAGGATGCACCCACGAGTGCTGAGGGAGCTGGCAGATGTTATTGCTAAGCCACTCTCCATCATCTTTGAAAGGTTATGGAGAACAGGAGAGGTGCCTGAGGACTGGAGGAAAGCCAATATCACTCCAATCTTCAAAAAGGGCAAGAACGAGGACCCAGGAACCTACAGGCCAGTCAGCCTCACCTCCGTCCCTGCAAAGGTGATGGAACAGCTCATTCTGGATGTCATCTCTAAGCATGTGGAGGAAAAGAAGGCTATCAGGAGTAGTCAACATGGATTCACCAAGGGGAAATCATGCTTGACCAATCTGGTAGCCTTCTACGATGGCATGACTGTCTGGGTAGATGAGGAGAAAGCAGTGGGTATTGTCTACCTTGACTTCAGCAAGGCTTTTGACACTGTCTCCTGTAACATCCTCACAGGTAAGCTCAGGAAACATGGGTTAGATGAGTGGACAGTGAGACGGATTGAGAACTGGCTGAATGACAGAGCTCAGAGGGTTGTGATCAGTGGCGCAGAGTCTAGTTGGAGGCCTGTAGCTAGCGGTGTTGCCCAGGTGTCAGTACTGGGTCCAGTCTCGTTCAACTTATTCATCAATGACCTGGATGAAGGGACAGTGTACCCTCAGCAAGTCTGCTGATGATACAAAACTGGGAGGCATGGCTGATACACCAGAAGGCTGTGCTACCATTCAGCAAGACCTGGACAGGCTAGAGAGTTGGACAGAGAGGAATCTAATGAAGTTCAACAAAAGCAAGTGTAGTGTCCTGCACCTAGGGAGGAATAACCCCATGCACCAGTACAGGCTAGGGGATGACCTGCTGGAAAGCAGCTCTGTGGAGCAGGACCTGGGAGTCCTGGTGGACAAGAAGTTTACCGTGAGCTAGCAATGTATCCTTGCAGCCAGGAAGGCCAATGGT